AGAAGTCCAGGAAAAGGTTAGTGTCAACTGGACAGTTGGGTAAAGGCTTCCTTAGGGAAATGGCATTTGATGAGAGACATAAGGTGAGAACTACTCTGTCTCTCCTACAAATAACTTCCTCACTGGCCTCCTTGCTTCAGTTGTAACCCCCTCCTAACTTACACTTAAAGAGATCCTTTTTAAAAACAAGTTGTATGGTGCTACTTTCTGCTTAAGGCCTTTTAATGGTTGTTATTCATGGGTAAAGTCAGATCCTCTGACAAATATCAAAATTATTGATCCTCCATTATCTGAGGTTTTAAGTATTATGGCTAAAAACTAATCAAGTGTGATTATATGCCTTTTCAAACTACACATTTCCTCTCAGAGATTCTGCTTATGTAACCCTGGTTAAAAATCACAGCTGCAGTTATACTACATTGCTTGCAATTATACACAACCCCCATTTGTTTTTAAAACTAAGACCCCAAAAGTAATTCAGCTTCTATGGTTTAGATGTGGTTTGTCCCTGCCCAAATTCATTTTGATTTTTTTTTTTTTTTTGTGGTGCTGAGGATTAAATCCAGGCCCTTTTGTATGCAAGGCAAGCACTCGGTATACCAAGTGAGCCATTTCCCCAGCCCTTCATGTTGAAATTTGATTGCCAATGTAGGAGTGTTGAGAGGTAGGGCCTTTGGGAGGTGATTGGGTCATGAGGGCAATGCCCTCACAAATGGATTAGTGTCTTTCTCAAGAGAATAGGACAGTTCTCGAGCATGTTATAAAGCAAGCCTGGCACTGCCCCTTACTCTCACACACATGCTCCTCTTGCACTTGCTAGTTCTCTTCTGCTTTTTCTACCATGAAGTGAAAGAGCACATTGCCTTGGCCAGATGGTCCAGTGCTCTCAAGTTTGCTAGCCTCCAGAACCACGGGCCAAAATACACTTCTTTTCTTTGTAAATTACTCAGTTTCAGATATTTTCTTACAGCTACACAAAATGGATAAAGACACTCCCCCAAATTACTTGGTTAGTCATTGAGAAAGAGCTCTTAGCAAGTGCTATACACATTTCCATTCTGTTTTGGAAAGAGATAAAACAGAAGTCAGGGGCCTTGTTCCTCTCCCAATTTTTAGACAGAAGCCTCTGATGTGCTGGTACCTACCTGAACTGACAATAAGGAACTGAGACTATAGCTTATTCTCTAACCTGAGGCTGGTGAAAGTAATTTTTGTCCTTGAGAAGGTGGGAGTTGATGACAAACAGAATTCGCCCACCATTCCTACAAAGTCTCTGAAATTCTTCCTCTGTTCTATTGCCTCTATCAAAAGATACAGTTCCCTATATGACAGACATTAACTTTTTCTATCTAAAGTATTTAATGCTGAGACTCAAAATTGTGAGAACTAGAAGAGGTCATTTAGTCAGTAAATGCCAACCCCAGAGAGCATCACCCGGACTTACAAAAGTAAAATCTCTAGGAGAAAGAAATCTTGAGTGACTTCAAACTCCTTATTTTACAGATGACCCACACACAGTAAGAAGCCTGTCCTAAAAGGTAGTGAAGCCTATCCCTAAAAGGTAGTGAATTTGAAACAAGGTTCCTAATATTATACTGGTGGCTCTGGTTCAGGACACAACTCTCAATGCTGCACCTTGCACACAACAAGTGCTTAATAAATATCTGTTGGGTTATTGAGCCTCAAACAATTTTTTTTTCACACAGTGAAGGGGAAAGACCTTGATTTTTGGAATTGGGCAGATACTGCTGTGGAGGACCACTGGAAAGTTTGTCTTCATAACTAAAAAACAGGGATAATTACTTCATAGGGTTATCAGTGATGACTAAATGAGATATACTAAGTAAAATGTCTAACCCATGCCTATCACCCAAAAGGCACTTAATAAAGGGTTGGGGTTATCAGTGAGAAGCCGCAGAACAAAGTGATAAGAACAGATTCTAGAACCAGAACTTACTATATGTGTGATGATAGAAAGTTACTTTGCCTGTTTCCTCATTGGTAGGATAAGGGTATTAGTGAAGATGAAACAACACACACACACACACACTCTCTCTCTCTCTCTCTCTCACACACACACACACACACACACACACACACACACACAATAGCACCTGGCACAAGGAAACAAACATGATATATTAGATCCAGTACAGTAGTCAGGTCCAGATCATACCACAGATGCTGTTGAAGGAGATATCAGAAAGCGTCGGGGCATGGGGCTGGGGTCCTATATTCATAGAAAGAGGCACAGGTATAGCAAGTAAAAACAATCCATGGAAGCTATGGAAAGCCTTCCCATTGAACTTGTGAGACCCCCTTTGGATTGCTGTACCCTTTCTTTTCTCTTTACTATACTTTTGATTATCTGCTTCAGCTGAGTCCCTCCTGAGGGCAGGAATCCTGTTCTCTTCTTACCTAAGGCTGAGTACCAAGAAAATATTCACTGATAATTTGCTGATGGAGAGAGAGAGAAAAGGCATCACTTCTGGACCCCATACCACACCACCATCACCACAACCACCACCTCCACCAACACCAACACCCATGAAAAAAGAATGCCAAGCAAAGCAATTGCCAAGATAAATCACTTTTATCTCTATAGGAAAGGGAGGATCTAAAAAAAATATAAATTACATTAGTAACACAACATAAGAAAAAAACAGGGGGAAAAAACAACAGAGAAGTCCAGATGATACTATTCTAACCTATTTATAAAAAGGCCCTGCATCAGAAATTCACAATCCTACCCACTTCTAAAAATATATTTAGACATGTACAGAAGCGGTGGGTTTGTTTTTAAATTGTTTGCTTTTTTTGTAAAAATATATTAAAGGTGAATAGAAATCCTCTCTCCCTGTCCCCTATTTTACCCCCAGTTCTCTGCTGGGGATTGGAGATCAGAGTTAACTATCTCACCATGTTCTAAACCTTGTTTACTACCACTTCCAACCCCTCCCCAACTCACTTCACTTAGAACCTGAAACATTAAAAAACAACAACAACAACAAAAAAAACACTAGCCTCTTTGGAAAAGCATGACTCTGAGGGTAAACTTGCTTTTCATTGGAAACAACACAAAACAACAAACAGAAGACTCTGAGAACCCTACTAAACTAAATGAACCCAGTCAAATGGAGGCTGAGTTTAGCTCCACAGAAACTTCTAACAAAGAAACGGAGGAGAAAGAGGCCAGGAATCAGGGGGATTTGCTAGCAATTTAGCTGCCTTTGAAAGATCAAGAAGGGGTGTTAATGGGAAAAAGGGCTGGGGACCTGGTCTTGGTGACAGCAGTCTGTGTCTAGTCAGGTAGTTGCCTACACTGGGACAGAGGCTTCTCCTGCCCTCCCCTTACTACCCCCTGCTGCCTTGAAATCCCCAAGATAAGCAAAGCTGGGTAGAAACAGAGGAAAGGGGAGTAGGGACCTCACGTGCTAGGGGGGAGGTAGCCAGGCTTTTTGCCTTTGGTGTGACTAGATGGAGGACTGCTTGGCCCCTGGGGTCCCCAAGGTAGAAAAAGCAAACAGGCTAAGGGACCCCTGATTCCAAGGAAGGACAGTAGAGGTGGGGCTGTGGAGAAGAAATAAAACCAAAGACACAAGACAAAGGAAGCCTCACAAATTCCCTGTGGCCTGAATGGTAGCTGTTAAATTCCCCAGAAGCTTGAGGCAAGCTGGGGTGAGGTTGGAGTGGAGGGTAGAGGACAAGGATACACTCCGCTTGGGCAGTGCCAAAATGGGGTGGGAAAAGGAGCATTCTCCATCAAGTCCAGATTGCCAATGAGGCAAGACAAGAGGGAGGTTTGGGCACTGTCTGGACAATGGAAAGAATACACAAAGGAAAGAGGGGAAGATGGTCTGCTCCTTCACAGATGGGCATCTCTTCTCCTAGACTTGGGCTCATGAGTGAGTGGTCCATCTGAACTCTGCTTAAATGCTGACCTATGGTCTGCAAGTGCAAAGGTCCAGGAGTGAAGATATGAGTTCTGAGGTCTTAATCCAGACTAAGACCTCAGGTGGGAAAAGAAGTAAGGAGGTTTGACGAAGGACCCAGGGGTAGACTGTCTTGCGATACCCTCTCCAGAAGGTCCAGGGTTATCTGCTTCAGTGACAGGTGCTTTCAGGTTTACACCTGCTGGAGCCCAGCCACAGCTGCATGGATAATGTTCTGCAGGACCTCAAAATCCAGGCAAATCCCTGGGGCTCACCCTGTGACAAAGAGCTTCATGTATAGCCAGCCATAAGTAGCTTCCTCCAATGAGGATGGTCAAAGACCTAGGCATCTGTCCTCTCCACACTTTGAAAAGTGAATCTCCTTTCTTTTAAGGATAAGTGAATTCAGCCTTTCTAGGCCACCTCTATCAATAGCCCACAGTGGGGCAGTAAGGGGACTCTGGGCCCTCCTCTTTTTTCCATGAAGTATTTGGCAAGAGGGGGCAGAGACCACAGCCTTCTCCCAGAAAGAAGTCTACAGGTGGGTACATCCACTGGATTGGTAGGGAGGGGAAAGGGAAGGAAACACGGGTGTCTTCTAGAGAGAGGGTTGGAGTTGCAAAGTGGAGCACCGGGTCTCCCACTTCATAGCCACAGAAATATCCAGGGGCCCAGGATCTCTTCATGCCTCTCCTCATCCTGCCTACCAGCTACATGGTGGGAGGTTGGGAGTGGGGTAAGAGTAAAAGACAAAGCAGGGAAATGGGGCTGGAGGAACAGAAATAAGGGTTCTAGTCAGTTGGAAATTTCTCCCATTTACCTGCTTCTCAGGGGTATAGAGAAAGAAGGTAGGATGCTCATAGTGGTAGTGGGAAAGGGAGTTGAGGGGAACCAGTGGAAAGATCCATGGGGGTGTCCATGCCTTTGGTCAGTCCCAAGAAAGCAGGACAATGCGCCTCAGCACCTTGTCCGGGGCAAACAGGATCCAGAAGTGCCCCGAAAGTTGACAACGGAGAAGGCAATGGGGGTGAAGGGGTGAGGGATGGAACACAAGGGGATTCGGCTCACAGAAGTAGCTTGCCATTTCTGTGGATTTTCAGGATACGGCCAAGTCTCTGCTTTGCTGTGGCCAGGCCCTTTTTGGGACGCTTTCCTGTGGGGGAAGGGAAAAGTAAGCAAAGGGTATGGCAAAAGCCTTAGCAGTAACTCCAGCACTAACTGTCCTCAGGCCACCCCTACTCTATTCCTCTCCCCACAACGTTTCTTCATCCTTAGGCCATACTGGACAAGAATCCCTCCTTAATTATTTCCATCCAACACCACATACCTTAATTCTTCTGCCTATGGCCTCCTTCAGCAGATAAAACTCCCTGGTTATAATTTGTCTGGTTCATTTTCCCCACTGATTTCTTTTGGGCCCAGTCACTTTCCTTTCAAAATTCTGCAGGGAGATGAGTGTGCTTCCATGTCCTTTTATCACACCCACAAGGGCTAGAAAAAGGTCTTATTAGTGATTATAGCCCAATGTTCCTCATGTTGCTATCACCAGGGCCTTTTTTCATTAGAAACTCCTATATTCATCAACCCCCAACATCACACCAACCTCAGCACCCTTGAGCTATGGACTGTATGGCCTGAATTTTTGAGGGCACAAGTGAGGAAAGGGGGCGGTCAGACCCTAACTCTTTCTTGCCTCTTTCTTCCTCCCTATATGAATCATCTCCTATGTCTCATTAGATTATTTCCATATTTGGTCACTATATTCCTTCCCTTTTCTATACCTTGGCCAGAACTTCAGCTTCTCTTCATTCCTGCATGAATCTATGTATGTGTCTCCTTTGTACCTGCCAGCCCACCCTCCACTCTGGTCATCAAATGATCTTTTTTTAGAAAGATCTTAAACCTGATCTTGTCACCACTTAAAATCAGTCAACATCTCTCCATGGTCTAAAATTAAGGTTTAGAACCCTCTTACTACCATACGGCTATTGTACCTTGTCCTGCCTGATTGCTCTGGGACCCAACTGAAGGGCGCCGCTGGGTCAAGAAAACGCCGGGGGCCATGGGTGTGGTGCTGCGGTTTGCCTGGGCCATGCCAAAGGCATTGGGTCGAGCAGTATACTCATGGTCAGCAAGACTTCCTGACAGAGCCTCTTGTTTAGGCTCAGGAGGAGGCAGGGGTGAGGAAGAGGCAAGAGGCTGGGGTGCAGTAACCAGTGTTGGGGCTGGTATTGCCACGCTGAGATTGGAGTCTTGAGGGCGAGGCTGTTCTACCTCCTTCAGCAAAGGCTTCTTCTTAATATATTTCTTCTTTTGGGCCTTCTGTAGCTCCTGAAACACAAGTCAAATGGGAAGGATGATTCAGGAGTGAATCAAATAAGATAATTTCCCAGAAAAGGAACAAGATAATCATCAACATTCTGCAATCCACTACCCCCTCCCCACTAAGTCTAGTCTGTTAATACACACAACACATAGACCTTTCAATACCTGAGGTGCCATTCATCCATAAGTCATCACTGCCATTTATCAGTACAGTGGCAAGAGAAATGTAAATGAATTTGGAGACTTTGGGTTTGGGTCCTAAAATTATCACTAATAAGGTGGATCATGAACGCTTATAACAACAATTAAATTTAAACCAGCAGCTGAGGTACTTTATATACTTTAACCTACTTAATCCTCATAACAGTCCTAAGAAATAAAACCCCTCATTTTACAGATAATAAAACAGGAGCAGGAATATAAAGCAACTTGTCTCCAAAGTTTAATAGCTGAAAAATAGTTGAATCTAATATTTAACCAGATCTATCTGAAGACACACCCTGAAAACTTTTTTAAATGGAACATCTGAGAATAGAAAGATGATTAGCTTTGCAATGAGGTAAGCCTGGGTTGAAATCCAGGCTAGTGCTCCCTAAATTGGATGACTATAGTCAGTAACTAACCTTTCTGAATCTCAGCTGCCTCATCTGCAAAATGGGCAAAATAATGTCCACTTTTCAGGGTTGTTGGAAAGATTACATAAAATGATGCTGTAAAAATACATAGCACATGGAAGGAACTCAACAAGTGGTAAATTATTATTCTATCTTAATTTCTTACAATGGCTTTTCTTCATTTTGCTGGTCTTTTTCTTCTAACAGAGGACTTGACAATCTTCCAGGTAGACAGATCTAAAACCTCAATTTTGGATGGGAGGTATGAATAAGGAGTTGTGTCACTTCTCCCAATATCTTGGATTTCATCCATCCATTGCTCTATGGATCTACTATCCACTGCATAGTGGGTACCTGTATAGTGGGCATCTGGAGCCCTGAGAACCTGGAAAGGTGGTGCTGAGAGCATGTAAACGACTTCACCTTCTGAAATGCTACACAGCCACAAAGAACAACTCAGTGATTACATTTCTTTGCCTTCTCTTGGCAACACGAACCTACTCCTGCCTTCGGAGGATCTGACAGGCTGTGGCTACCATAGCAATTTCTGGGGACAAGAATAATAATATTAGTAATACATGCCAGGCAGTATTTTAAAGTTACTCATTTAATACTTAAAAGAACTTGAGAAGAAATATAATCCCATTTGAAGAATGAAGCAACTGGCAAAGAAAGGCTAAGCCATTTTGCCAAAGTCACAGGACCAGTACATGGCCAAGTTGGGATTCAGACCCAAGCCATCTGGCTTCAGAATCTTTTTCAGCCACACTTCTATTCCACCCATATCAGGAATGGTATTTCTGTAACCTTTTCTCTCATCTGATTCCAGAAACGATCTCTTCATATCTAGATCAACTAGCCTAAATTTTTCTACCTTTGCAGCCAGTCTCTTTCTCATATAATTTATCTAGATATACTCATAGATGATTACATTCTCTTATTACAGGACCATTTTCACCTTGCCAATTTCCCTGCTCAAAAATCTGTTAATAGGCCAGGCATAGTGGCACATGCCTGTAATCCCAACAGCTCAGGAGGCTGAGGCAGGAGGATCGCAAGTTCAAAGCCAGCCTCAGCAAAAGCAAGGCATTAAGCAACTCAGTGAGACCCTGTCTCTAAATAACATACAAAATGAGGCTGGGGATGTGGCTCTGTGGTCAAATGCCCCCGAGTTCAATCCCCAGTACACCCCCCCAAAAAAAAGTGTTAGCAGGTCCCCAAGTTTGAATGCTCTGGATTTACATTCATGATCTTCCACCATCTGGCCACTTACATCTAGCCAATCCCTATGTTGATGATGGGAAGCTAACATGCCAGTGGTACTTACTCCATACAAAGTGCCATTATTAACAATTTGTGTGTGTGTGTGTGTGTGTGTCTGTCCGTCTACATACAAAATCTCATTTAATCCTAAGAAAGTTTATTAGGAAATTGAAGCAAAGAGAAATTAAATAATTTATCCAAGTGGTACTGCTAGGATTCAAAGCCAGGTAGGCTAGATCCAGAACCCTTTTCTTTTAACCATTACTTATTTTATTCCATGTCCCAACATGAAGTCTCCAATCCAGAAAAACTCATTCATTCATTCACTTATCCCAGCACTGAATAAATACATATGCTTACCACAGTGGGGATGCCAAGTTAAATAGATCCCTACACTTGAAGAATTTATAGTTTAATAAAGGACACATAAAATATACTTATCACCCTAAACACCATGAGAGAATGCTGTGGAAGCAAAGAAAGCCACTGAAATAAAGTGGTGGTAGGTGGTGTGAAAGAGTGTCAGATAAAGCATTAGAAAAGGCACACTGGGCAGAAGGAATGGCTTGTGCAAAGACACAAAGGCATGAAAAAATCTGATACATGGAATGAATCAAGAGTACTGTAGTGTAGTATGTCTGGTGCAAAGGCTGTGCATGAGAGTCTGGCAGGAGGTCAGCAAGGAGAAGTGACTAGAGATCAAATGAAGAGGTCCTTGTTTGATGTACTAAGGACTTCTTTTCTCCTAGAATGGCTTCCTGTCTCCTACCAAAAGTTTAGACTTCAAAAGCCTTCTCCAATTTTAACCTGTTCTTTGAAGTAATCCCTAATCATCATAAATAGAAGTTACTCCTAAAAAGGCACTAAGAATAGTTGTCACACCTTTAATTTATCTGTTTATTTAAAGTGGTAAATCACGCCCCCCCCCCTTTTGTTCAAATTACACCTTACATGGCATTGGGATATACATAACAGAAAGAAGTTTTGAAGGGCCACCTGGCCTGCTCAGTCTGTGCTGGTTCCCAACAATAGCCTCCAAAACATTTTTTAAAAACTCTATAGCTCCATAGACCATCATGTGAAAAACATCATTCTATTAAATTTAATTTAAATAGGATGTAATTACTAAAATAAATAAGCACTTGACTATTTCACTTTATTTAAATATCCAAGTAACATGAAATTTGAAGTTAAAGGATGAGTATGAATCTTGTCTCCTCCATTTAATGGCTGTCTTATCTTGGACTAGTCACTTAAAGTGAGCCTCATTTTCTTCACCTGCAAAATGATGAAAATATCACCTATTGAACAAGGCTACTGGGCATTTTACATTAGACATTGTACATGGAAGCACATAATCTAGAGTTAGCTCAATAATGCTCACACTACAGGATGTGGCATGAGGAGCTAAAGGAATTTTGATAAGAAAAGAATGAGAAGATTTACCTCCAAATGCTCCTAGGGTTTCTGAGCATATTACATATGTTAAAGAATTTTGTAAAGTATAATTCTAAGGGGTAAAATTAATTGTAGTGAAGATGACCTGTTAGGACAAAAAAATAATAGCTGTTTTCTTTAGAAGCAGGGGATGAAAATCAAGGTAATAGTATTTGGAGAAGAGAATAAGTAAAACCTCTTTCTAATAGACCAAATTCCTATACTGATGGGTGACCAAAGACTTAAGTGTACTCAGCTGAGTCACCTCTTTGGCACTTCATGTGTGGGCAAAGGACATGTCGATCTGAGTTTTTTTTTTTTTTTTTTTAATATACATCCAAGAAAGGCAAGTGATATCAGCAAGGGCTTTTCTCTGGCCCCATGTTTTCTTTTGTCCTAAAACATGTCAACTATGTAACCCTATGGAAGTAGCTTGTCTTAGAACTAGGATATGAAGGATATTGTAGGGGGTTGGGATATTGCCAAGGTCAAAGATCAAAGGTTTCCCACAACCCACAGAGACAATAGTGAGATCTTATCAGCTTGAAGGTCTGAGTTTTGAGGATCTTAGTCAAACAGGGATCAGCAGAAGAGCCACTACCGGGTGGCAGGCACTTACCTGCTGGGCCAGCTTTGCAGCTGCTGCAGCCAAACCTGTCTCAATGGAAGCGACTCGGGTCCCCTCACGTACAGGACGGTCCTGCTTGGGTAGAGTTGGGGTCACACGGGCTGCAAGGGAAACAGGAGAAGGTGTCACTCTCTGAGACATTTATCTGCATGTCAATTATTATCTCCACCTTCAACTTCCCCAAAAGTAGTTTCACTGGCCTTCCTGCTTCCAGCTTTTCACAAAGCCAGGTTTTGCTTCCTATAAGGTAAGTAGATAATTTACAAATACTCAAAGCACACCTGATAATAGAATAAAAGTTCACCTACCTGATTGGGTATTTAAGGTTGTCCATGTTTTTTGCTCCTGGCCTCCATTCCTCCCTACCCTTATTTATTTAAATGTCTTTAGTTGTTGATGGGCCTTTATCTTATTCATTTATTTATATGCAGTGCTGAGAATCAAACCCAGTGCCTCATACATGCTAGGCAAGTGCTCTACCACTGAGCCACAATCCCAGCCCCCTCCCTATCCTTATTTCCACACCCACTGTTATGGTTTGAATGTGCCCTCCAAAACTCCTGTGGAAATTTATTTGCCACTATAATGGTATTAGGAGGTAGAACTTTTTTTTCAGGGGGGGGGGACTACCAGGGGTTGTACTCAAGGACACTCAACCACAGAGCCACATCCCCACCCCTATTTTATTTAGAGAAAGGGTCTCACTGAGGTGCTTAGTGCCTCACCATTGCTGAGGCTGGCTTTGAACTAGTCTCCCAAGCCGCTGGGATTATAGGCATGTGCCACCATGCCTGGCTAGGAGGTAAAACTTTTAAGAGCTAATTAGGTCATGGTAGCACCACCCTCATGAATGGATTAAAGTTGTTTTTGTGGAAGCAAGTTAGTTATAAAAGGGGAATTTTAGCTTGCTCATTCTTGCTTGCTCTCTCATTATGTGATGCCTTCTGCTATAGCATGATGTAGCACAAAGCCCTCACCAGATGCCAGTATCATGCTCTTGGACATTCCAACCTCAAGAAGCATGAGTCAAATAAACTCCCATTGTTTAGAATTTACCCAGTCTGTGATATTCTGGTATAGCTTAAGAAAATGGACTAAGACATCCATATTCTCAGCTTCTCCAGACAGATAGCTTCCTTATTATACCTCACTGTATGTACAGCTCATCCTCTCTCCTTGTGCCTTCATCCTCATCATCCACACTACCTAGAGTATGCTCTTCCATACTGCCTAGTCAAAACTTACCCACCCTTCAAAGATATATTGAAAACAATACCTATGCAAACTTTTAGAACTTCTCTGGTTCCATTTATCTTTTCTTCATTTGAACTTATGATCTGTACAAGTCATTTGATACACAACACATATCACCTTGTCTGATATTGTTGATGTGTGTTTTTTGTCTATGAACAAGGCCATAACTCTTTTTTTAAATGTTTTTTAGTTGTTGATAGACCTTTATTTAATTTATTTATTTATTTATTTAGCGGTGCTGAGAATTGAACACAGTGCCTCACACATGCTAGGCAAGCACTCTACCACTGAGCTACAACCCCAGCCCAAGGGCATGACTCTTACAAAATGCTTTTATGTAGCACCTTTAACACATTAAATCAAAAATAGTTATTCATCCCATCATTTGTTTTTTTAAATTTATTCTTTAGTTTTTGGCAGACACAACATCTTTTTATGTGGTACTGAGGATCGAACCCGGGCCGCACGCATGCCAGGTGAGCGTGCTACCGCTTGAGCCACATCCCCAGCCCTCATCCCATCTTTTCGATAGAAAGAATATTACAAAATAACCAAATAGGTTATTTTGATGAGGAGGGACAGCTCTTCTTTATAGAAAAAATGCCAGCTAATAAATGTAGAAGAAATAACAATTAGAAAAATCACAAGTTTGCAAGCCCTGATGAAACTATGGATTCTAGAGAATTACATATTCACATACTACCAAATTATTAATTTACAGACAACTTGCCAGTCTCAAGAACAAAACCTAACTTTAAAATGGTGCTATCAGGGGACCATTACCTTAGTCTACTTAGCACAATTAACTATGTACTAACTTTAGTGTCACTAGTAGTGAGAAAACACAATATCATATGCCTCTTGATGTGATGCAACAGGAAATTCAAAGGTCCACCTGGAAAGTTGCTAAGGTGTTAAAATAATGCAAGTCATTCATATTACTTCCAGTGTTTAAGAAACATAGGGACAGAAGAAAAAATTAAATATTACCTTGAGAAAAGAAGCAAACATTCTGCATATCAGATAACTGGCTTAATCTCTTTAAAAGACAATGTCACATGGAAGCAAACAGACAAATCTAGAAGGCAAGATGAACTACAGGGTCATTATACCATTTCTACAACAAAAATAGGATAAAACAAAAAGGGGAATGTTAGATTTTTTAAAAATATGGAATGATTCACAAATTTGCACATCATCCTTGTGTAGGGACCATGCTAATCTTCTCTGTATTATTCCAATTCTAGCGTTATGTGCTGCTGAAGTGAGCACTGTTATGGATTTGTTTATCAAGGTACTGGAGATTGAAACCAAGGGCACTTGACCACTAAGCCACATCTCCAGCTCTTTTTAGCATTTTATTTAGAGACAGGGTCTCAACTGAGTTGCCAAGGTACCTCACTTTTGCCAAGGCTGGCTTTGAACTTGCAATCCTCCTGCCTCAGCCTCCTAAGCAAGCCACTGGGATTACAGATATGCACCACCATGCCCTACTCTTCAGTTCTTTTTATTTATTTATTGTTTTTAATTTTGAGACAGGGTCTTAATAAGTTGCTTAGGGCCTCACTAAGTTGCTGAGGCTAGCCTCAAACTTGCAATCATCCTGCCTCAGCCCCCACCAGTGACTGTGATTACAGGCATGTGCCATCATGCCTAGCTATCACAGAAAGAGACTTAAAAGGCAAGACAGCCAAATGGCACGTGGACCCTATTTAGATCCTGATTTAAACAGATTCATTGTAGTACCTTTGTTTGGTTAAACAATTTAGGAAATTTGATTATTGGCTTAGAATTAGATGAACATCAAAGAATTACTGAATAACCATTAATTTTGTTATGTATAATGGAATTACTGTTATATGAGAAAATGTCCCTATTTCTAGAAATGCATACTGAAATACATGGTGAGAAATGGTGTCATAATATCTAGTGTCTGAAAATAAAAATGACTGGGGGGACTGGGGTTGTAGCTCAGTGTCAGAGTGCTTGCCTAGCACATGTAAGGCACTGGGTTTGATCCTCAGCACCACATAAAAATAAATAAAATAAAGGTATTGTGTCTATCTACAACTAAAACAATATTTTTTAAAAAGGGCTGGGAATGTGGCTCAGTGGTCAAGTGCTCCTGGGTTCAATCCCTGGCATTAAAAAAAAAAAAAAAAATTGTTGGTCTGGGGTTGTAGCTCAGTGGTAGAGTGCTTGCCCAGCATGTATGAGGTACTGGGTTCAATCCTCAGCATCACATATAATTAAATAAATTAAATAAAGGTATTGTGTCCATCTACAACTAATTTTTGTTTAAATTGTCACAAAGAGCTTTATCAGAACTCTAGAAATTAACCAAAGGCTTTCAGAAACTTAGGAGAGCATTTACTCAAGACAAATAGCTGAATCTCAGAACAGGGAGCTTTATGGCATTTTAACTTGAACTAGACACATTCACCTTCCCCTAGCTCAGTGGTATCCTTGAAAAATAACACTCCACATTCCCAGTAGCAAGCAGAAAAGAGTTAGAGCTTTCTTTCAAAGCCTAGTACTAAAAGCCTCTCCCTAGGAGGAATTCATGAAAATGTTTAAAGGCAAGTACTTAATGTCACAGCTACTTAAGGTGATGCATAATAGTTATGACAAACAGATTAATCCAAAGGCTTAAAAAGAAGCTGAGGAATGAGATGATCATAGGAAATGTGAAAAGCTCTCACATACTTTGGGGAATCTAGAAGGTCACATGCATGTACAGAGGCTCTGTGAAAGACCTGAAAGGGTCCTAAGCATGCACCCCTGGCTGACTCTGAGGCTCTGCACAAGCAGAAAGTGAAAGCTAAAGGAGAGTTATAAAGTGGCTGGCTGAGTGTTGAGTGCTGCCCCAACATGCACACAGAGGCCCTTGGCAACACTGGAAGATTCACTAATCCCAGGCATTTAAGGAAATCTGTCTAAACATTAGATGACCAGAAAGCTACCTGAGTAGAGATTTACTCACAAATAGAATACAAACCTTATAGGATTAGTTCAAAAAAGTCACTAAACAAGTTACACTGGCAATAAGCAAAAACAAAATAAACCCTGGGGAGCAAAGTGAGGAGAATCCAGAGCTGCCACCATATTTAAAATATCTCATTATTAACAAAATTATAAGACATACAATGCAAAAGGAAAACTAAGGCATACATAAGAAAAAACAAAAAACAAAAGATACTGTGTCTGTCTTCCTAAACAAAGTTGGGCTTACTAGATAAAGACTTAAAATCAGCTATTGTAAATTATTTTGGAGGCTAAAGAAGACCATGTCTGAACAACTACAAGAAAGGCTGGGCATGATGGCACATACCTGTAATCCTACCATCAAGTTTATCAACACATACACATAGGAGTCTCAGAAGTTCAGAGAGAAATGGAGTACAAAGACTACTTGACGAAATAATGTCTGAGGACTGGGGGTGTAGTTCAGTGTTAGTGTACCTGCTTAGCATACACAAGGCTTGGGATGTTTGATCCCCAGTACTACACATACACACACACACACACACACAAAAAAAAAAAAACTATAAACATGTATGAACTTAACAACCGAGTCTCAAAATCCAAAGTAAAGGGAGAAATAGATGGGCTGGAGTTGTGGCTCAGAGGTAGAGTGCTCGCCTAGCATGTATGAGGCACTGGGTTTGATCCTCAGCACCACATAAAGTAAAATAAAGATGTTGTGTCCACCTATAACTATAGAAATTTTTTAAAAGGGAGAAATAGATATTTCAAGAATAACGGCTAGAGAATTCAATACCTCATTTTTAATATCGAAGAGAACAATTAGAAGATCAGTGAAGAACTACAGATATCATTATGTTTG